ATTTGCGCGACACAGTTTTCTGTCACTCACTCCCCCCCCCCCCNNNNCCCACGTCCGAGAGACCACGAAGATTGTTCTGTCCGGCTGACAGGTGAGGTGACAAATAGAAATGCGTTATCAGCGGATAATGGAATAAATATCATTGAAGCGCAGGATAAAATGGAAATATTGGCACAAAACAGAAGAGAGAGCAGTTAATGATCATGGTAATAATAACAGCAAAATAATTTGATGCAAAAGATGCCGGATACTGTTTGTTGGTTATAATTTACACGATTTAATATTGCATACTGCGAAAGCATAAGGAGATGATGCACACATGGTTCAGGAAAAAGGAAAGCCATCTGACATATATGAGAAGGGACAGCGGCACTGAAAACCCGGAGTCCCTACGGCTAAATGCCTCAGTAAAAACCTGTATATTCGTGTTCGATTGAGAGAATCCGACTGATACTAGGACAAAGTTGTCATTTTAATTAGCAAGACAAGAGTGGGGAAAGATCATTGTCGAATTAGACTAAGAATACCCGTGGAGATAGGATAAGTTGTGATCAATTTAACATGCAACGCTTTTAACTCCGACAATGAAATAATCTTTCATTGTGTTGCATATCATTTCATTTCATTTTTTTAAATTTTTAATTTTACTTCCTTAGATTGAGTAGACAAAGGTACGATTTGCAGGAAGGGGGAAGTGGCTAATCAAAGGGCTACCCTACGACCCAATGGGGAAAGGCGAGCGGTGGTGGTGGGAGNCAAACTTCTGTAGGTAGGTAAGTCTAAGTTTCAGTAAAACACGAACAAGTAGCGCAGTTGTCCACGCAGATAACAAAATACAGGACAAAGTAGCGAAATTGCTAATTCACACACAGTTTTCAGTAACTGCTAAGTAGCTAGTCTTGTTTATCAGTGATGACACAGGTCAATAAGGGAGCAGGAGGGGGCACGCCTATTAATCTTTGGAGGTCTGAGCAGCAAACTCAACTTGGTCGAAGGATAGAAGGGATAGAGCAGTGTTAAACATCTGACTTATCAATGCGAACCGTGTGAACGTAGCTCATGGTAAATTCAATAAGAAGTTCGCAGAGATTTCGTTAAGAGATGAAGTGATCGTGTGACGGGATGAAAAGCGAATGTCAATGACTACGCTGCGATGAACGTATGTGAGCAACTAGCAATAGTAACATTACAAGTACAGTGATTGTCTCTGAAAACGTAAGGATAATGTGACAGATGTTTTTGTTTTGCACTGGTCTTGGTTATATGAAAAATGATTTGTGACTTGTACCATTCAGTTGCATGCTGTAACATTGTTGCTCACCATTGGGCGTATCAAAACCACTGCGTACCTTCGGGTTTCACACACTGAATTTTGTCTACCGTGGAAATACTAGTGTTATTTCATGTTATACTTCGGTTCTGTCGTGCGCTTTTAGGGGAATGAGTCAAATTGGGACACCTAGCTCTGAGAACAGCGATAAATCAAGTTGGCCCGATTATCAAGTTCAGTTGCCTAAGATTCTCAAAGTCATGTAAAAATGATCTCTGGGAAAAATAATTTAAGAACATCAAGCAATATACTGTCAATTTAGATAGTTTACTGATAAATGTATACTTTATCCCTCATTCTTACACATACGATACCCTTTCGCTCCCATTTGCATCGTTCTCTTACATATAGAACTTATGATCTTCTGGCCATAAAAAAACTCACCAAAGTACTGTCTTTATTCTTTGCACCCGTATCAATATTATCATTGACTTATTCATTCGAAAATTTACGTTCATATAATTTTAATTCATCCTCTCCTGTGATACCGTCCTACCATTATTCACTCCTGTTATGACCGAATTCCAACCGCGACGCTAATGCACAGTATTTTGAGGGGCCCAACACAAGAGAGCGTGCTGATCGGACCCGGGTTAACGATTTAAGGAATGATCGCGAGAATATATCAATAGACTAAACTATGGCCTAACAATAGGGAAAGTTGGCTCACGGAAAAAATAGATTGGTCAGTGTCTGTCATGAACAATTGTATAACGTGATTGGAACTGTGAACTGATGGACGAATACGGACGTAGCAACTCCGATTTTGTAAAATTGTTGACTGCAGCCCCTCAGTTTAAATAGACGAGCGGTTTTATTCATGCAATCTACTAATAACACACTGCAATTGAGGGCCTCCACTATAAAATACACACACGATCCTCTGATCTGGTATTCTGCGACATGAGCTTAAGCTATCCATCTATCTGATTCCACAGTAGGCCACCGATAACCAATTTAATTCATTCTACTATTTATGATATTCCGTACATACCGAGGAGTAAACTATTGGTCAGACTCAACAGGTCAATAAAAGCTGATTAAAATTTATTTTAACGCATTTTTATTCCACTACTGTCAGAAATTTTACGGAAGAAGCACACGGACTTCTCACATGATCGAATCAACATCCCCCGGTCGTACCTGGATATCCATTCTTCCGTAAAATTTCTGACATTAGTGGAATAAAAATGCGTTAAAATAAATTTTAATCAGCAAGTTCATCTCCCAAATCAATCAAATGAAAGATATGAATATATAAAATAATATATCTAAAAGAAAAGATAATTGTCCATTCTCGTTCACACAATGACAGTGGAGGTATTTTACATCACTATAGTGCATCCAAACCCCAACTGTTCGTGCATGAATTCAAACCAGGGGACCATGAGGGGGTGAATCGGTGATCATGTTAACGGTAATCTTATTAATGAACAGCTGAGGTCAACTTATGACGAATGCATTCACGAGATTACGTAACACATGAATAGTCCGCGTTGGTGAAACTGTTTGGTATGATATAATCGATCATTGATAAGAGTGGGTGAATAGACAGAGTTGATACTCACTACATCTACACACATAAATCGTGGCGATTCAGACTGATAAGACCGTGACCAAAGCTTAGTATGGACGAAATGACTGTCCTAATCACTCGTCTATGATTTACAACAAAGAATTCGGATTCCAAGGCACCGGTGTCGCTCACCGGTGCACAAAGAAAACTGCCCCTGCTAACTCATTCCTATCTGGCTACCAATTTTATCATCATTTGAAAACCGTTCTGAATTCTGAAATTGCATCCCCTGCTTTACGAAGATGGACTGTTCATTGATACCTTCCGTTACGATAAGCGGGATTAAAGACACTGAAATACTTGAGAAATTATGCCCTTTATTTAAATACTGAGTGTGATTCGAAAATAGGATGGAAACTCAGTTATTTACATGTGAGCAATGCTCATCGTGCTTCGGCTCATGTGATCAACTCCGAGTGCATTGCTTATGTCCTTGTATCCCTATGGAGAAAAGAGAAAACTCAAGCTTCGAATATTCACCGAATTAGATTGACTCAGTTTGTCTTACACCTAGCGAAAGGGGGCTTGAAAGCTCGCGGTAATTAATTCCTGTTCATGATAGTTGTCAGAGGAACGGTTACAAAGGTATTGGTAGAAAGTTCTTTTTGAATAATAGAGAATCGCGAATGTGTACTTGCCTAATCAATGTTGCGAGCATTTAAAATTATATGTGAAAAAGAATCTGTTTATGTAGATCAGGAAAAGCGTAAGCTGAACAACCAATCTCCATCTTTCAAGATAGGAGGGTTTATGAGAGATATCTTTAGCAATAAATTAATTGATATATTTCTGTTTCATCATCATTATCATCATCATCATCTCTGTTTATGTGTGGATTTACAATACAAACAGTGTTCTTTCGAAACAGGAATTTGGACCTTATGGTAAAATCAGTCGAGATAGCTTGCTCGCTCGGAAGGGGTGATAGCTCTTCGAGACTACACCCCACTGGGGGTTAATGCATTACGGCTTCAACAGAGAAAGGGAATATTTATCCTGTAGTTTTACAACTACATCAGGTTACGAAGTGGGCGGGATCGCGACGTATGCAGTACGATTATAAGATATTAAACCCATTTTTAATATGTTTGATGCTCTCCTAAATCTTGTCCCTAAGAGCCTCTTACGACAACGTACAGAGATGACACACTTCCTGTTGATTTTTACAACTGTTGATCTTAAAGAAACTGAAGGAAATTTTTCGCTGAGAGGTTCTCTGTCAATCGATATTCGCGACGACTCATGTTTAGTGCGGTATGTTTAAATTTTTTGAAGAACGAACAGCTTAGGAATCAGAAAGTCCCTCTAATGACGACGAGCATTTTCAAACTTGAAAGCGATTGGAAAAAGAGTAAAATCAGCAATTACATGGTTAAATATTTGGTAATTTTATTAATTTATTGATTAATTTATGTTTCTGAGCGCAAAGCATGCATGCTACCGATACAATACGGCTATGAGAAAGAGCTGCACAATGAGTGAAACTGGTTTGTACGTTTAAATTCCTTCTGTGATGTCCCCAGTTGGAATCTTAGTGCACACAACGCTTTTGAAATCCAATTAGCAATACTGAATTGGTTGTTTATAATCATTTGTCCAGTGAGCTCTTTGTATTTTTACACAATGAATCCAAATTCACTGTAGTCATGATGTGATCTGTTATCCTCCACATTATCTATTACATGTTGATGATTTCACTGACCTACTGTAAATATGGTGCATTGATATTTGGACCAAAGAAAAACTGCAACATTCACTGCTTCATAATTATTTGACATGAGTGACGTATATCGATATATTGTATGTATGTCATAGAGCCAACATTACGCGCGTTCTTAAGCAGGACGACAGGAAGGAAGGAATTGGAACTTTTATTGCATCCCAAGTTCCGGGATTAGTTCGCAATCCAGCGACATGACTCCACTAATCACATCCCAAGTAGACTAAACCGTTCATGCGCATTCGTCTCTCCTCTGACCTATTTCACCTGTACCCCAGGCCACAGTCCCGTCAGTCAGTCGTATGGCCGTGTTCGAAGTGCGATTGGCCAACCAACTTCCTCTCCTCTTTCCATACCAACTTCTGATTGGCCAATCAGACGAAAACCGCACCTTTCTCGACCAATCCGATCGCCGAACAAACAATAAGCGAACACTCCCATGCGAATGTCTGACTGAGAACACAAGTGCCCATGGCTAGTTGTGTGACTGGGCAAATGGTCGGTCGTGGAATGCATATCAACGGGACCAGGAAAGTACGGAGCTCGGTCTCTATGGATGAGGATTCTGCGGATGAACTGGGTGTGGATGATCCAGGGTGAGTAACCATTTCCATCAGGTTTTGAATGTAACCACAGGAACGTTTGAGATACATGACGATCACAAGAAAAAATCGAACGATCTTAGGTTTTTGGCAGTTCTTGAAAGTTATGTAAATCACCATTAGATTTGACAAGCGTACGAACTGTAAAATGGTTAGATCCGAATACCTCTAGAAAGAAAAATGAAGTTCGTTAATTACGATTGCAACCAGATGGCATTCGCCGTGAGAAACACATGGACATCATTGCCCTGATTTTCAGCTAAGACATGATAAGGCATCATGATAAGTAAATTCTAGCAATGAAAAATGTGGCATATTGGAATGTGACCATACATAGAGTAGTTGAGTTAATATGATAGTCTCAAAACACCGGATATTTTGAAGAAAGCTTTTATGTCACGGGGTTGTTGGATCGCAATGCTTTCAAACAAATAACAATACAACAATATTTATGAAAATATAAAGCTCCATTATTCGATCGAGGGTTGATACCAGACCACTGAATATCTTGCGGGGAATTTATGATCGGAACATTCGACTGACCAAAGTCTGATCCGCAAGGACAGTGTGTGAAAACCGCAATCCATTGGGGGGTCGGTGTCCATTTCATCGGGTCACTCACCCTTTAGACGGGGTTAAACATCCAAGGTGTCCAATACACCTTGGTGCCCAATCGCACCACTAAACACTAACACAGACCCGCTGTTTGCCCGATTCGCTCGCCTGTTCTTTTCTGGTCTAGAATTCCAAATGGATGAAGAAGCCGAAATTTGGTGCGGATCATTCAGATTGTTTGTTGTGCTCCGATGTAGTTTTATTGATGTGGAGCTCTGATATCATCCTGCTCAATAAGATGCCTATCTGATTAAGGTGTTTTTTGATGCATACCATTGTTTAATCCACAATGGAAAGAATTGGTCCCGTACTCCTGAAAACCTAATTTTCACTCATGGGTTTTGCCGTTCGAAGTCCCAGTACTTGAATGGACAGTAGCTCCCAGCAAACCTTTTCTACACAACGTTGTGTAATAAAAGCCTAACACCGTTGTTCTATCGTTTGATCCCGCTAGTGTGATATGTTAACGATTTTGTGAGTCCCGGAAACAAGTGTTCCCTAAACCGTGTTTTCTTTCGATGTTTGCCAGGGAAAGAATACATTTCAGGTTTCCATAATGTTATAGTAATGGTCTCTGTAAACTGGAGTAAACGAGAGTTTTGCTTGAAGAAAACACCCATTAATGACGTGACTATATCCTACTTTCATCTACTGTAATAGGTACCTGAAGAGATACAACGACATTTTCCCGGAAATAAATTGTGAAACGCTGTGCTACTAGGTTCTCTATTCAAATGCATATCAGGAAAATTATGTTCCGATTCGCATACCCTCCGCTCTGTGCACGACGGAATTCGCTACCTAATAAAACTGATTACTCTGTGTTACATTTCGATGTGAATCAGTGCACACAGGTGGTCGTTGATTGGTCAAGGACAGTGTACCAAGTTCATCCATAAATAGAACAGGCGGTCGCGTATTCGTGAGAGGTTTGATTACGTCATCATCAAGTAGCCATTGACCTCTGTCGATAGCGTCCACAGGTTCGGGGTGGGGGAGAAGTAGCAAGGGGGCAGTTTTAACACATGGATGAAGATAATTACACATGTTTTGGACTATCGATTGTGTGCACACGAATGGTCTAATATTGCTTACGATAAACACTGTGCAAGAACTGTTTGGCATTGTCTCTCATCACTTCCGCAGTGAGACTAATACCAACAAGCTCATGGAATAACTACACACTAATTTCGTATTGATAAAATGAACGGGTTTTGACAAAAGATAACAGTGTTGGTGAAAGGTTATAGGTTGACTTCGACTGAAGTGAGAAACGAAGTGATGTGATGCCTAAATGAAAGAACTAAACCTCATTGCAATGAGGATTAAGGAATAAAAGATAAAAGAGGTGATCTAATAGGACGAGATTTTATGCTGAGGAATTTTTTCGTGTAAACAGAATATCATAACATAAATGGCCCCTAGACCTAATGTGGGTTTCCTATGGAATAACTAAGTTAGCATTTAGTTACACAAGTTTTCCTCAAACGATTACATTTCAAGTCAAGTCAAGTCCAGAAAAGCTTTATGCACCCAAAAGGTGAATTTTCAGCAGTTTACAATTTTTACAGTGGATAGGTAAAACAATTGCTAACAAAAAAGACGATATAAGAAATTCTACACTTTAGTACATTAAAGAAAAATTTGGGCAACAGTTTTTCTCCGAGGTGGGTGAGAATATTGTGACGATTTACTAGTAAACGAGGTAGATATGGAATTACACTGTTTCGATATGTGGAAGCCGGCACAGGAAGGAGTTGATATTTGGAGCGTGTCCGAGGAATCGACAGGGCTTTCGCGATATCTTGGTGCAGACAGTGCCCTTGATCACGTGTTATTCTGTCAATGAATGTATTACAAGCGTCAAGATGCTCGTAAATGAGGAAATCAATTATAACAGTTTTATCAACTCCACTGTAGCGGGACAAAAGTTTAAGGGATCTTGAAAATAAAGAGAAGTCTTTTTCTTTCAGTCCGGGGATAAAATCGGGGAGCAGTATAGCCAGTGTGGAAGAATGCAGGCAATCACAAATTTAGTAATAAGATTATGCGGTACGGCCAGTTTCCTGAGCCTGTAAGCATAGAAGGACAGTTTTCGAACTTTTGTGAAAACGTTGATAACATGAGCAGACCAGGACAAGTAATGGGCAAGGGTAACACCAAGGTATTTAACAGATGCAGATTTGGGAATACTTTGATTGTTTATTCTAAGATCAAGAAGATTATCAACTAATGAAAAATAACGGGGACCGGTTTTAAGATTGAATGGAACTTCGATGTACTTACTGACGTTAAGTTTAAGGGATCGGGTCACAGACCAAACGTGAAGTTCATTAAGACTGTCCTGGAGAGGTCGAAAACTGTCTGAAATAGTGGCTGGGCAACCAATCACAATATCATCAGCATACTTACAGGCAATAAAGTTGGTGGGAATGGGCAAATTTTGTATATACATGGAAAACAAGAAAGGGGACAAAATGGCACCCTGAAAAACACGTTGCTTATGATGAAGAAGAAGAATCACGATCTTACTTCACATTATGGTCAGACTAACATATTATTCGGTAGTTGAAACCGGTGTTCTAAACCGTGGGACATGAAGAGTGAACTGAGGATGAAGTGAACATCAGCTAGAGAGTGCATCTTTAGAGGGTATTCGTCAGACTAGATTCAAACCCCCAGCCAAATGAAACAACGTACATTGTAAATCGAGCCCGTATATTATGAATAGTAAAGATACATGTACAATAGGACAGATAAGGTAATGTCTGCGAATTTACTCCACCGCCACTACCACCCAACTTTGGTTTTTAGGCAGCTTTGTTGTTGTCCAGTTCAATACCACGCCCAATCTAGCGGGGCCTTATGTGGTTAGCCACTTCAAGTCCCGGGGCTTAAGGTCACCGGTTTCCATCACGGAACAGCAGGTCCTCGTGACCATGGGGTTCACCCCGTCTGCTGTTCATCACATTAAAGTGTGTAATAAAAAACTTCATGAAATACAAAAACACATATATATTTATATGGACAACATCCTAGCCAACTGGCGTTCTCGATCTAAGCCTCACAGTAAAATATGTGATGTGTATATTGACTATCAAATCGCATTGGCGGACTTAATCCATGTTATTCTGGAGAGATTGTATGCTATTGAAAATATCAGTACGGATTGCGATCACCGAATAGTGAATAATTGTGTACACATCATCTAGTGTATCATAGATATTGACAGTTTATTGATGTAATCGATGTGGTTGAATGTTCGTCACACTTTACCTCTGACCTTTGGGATGGATTCTTTTAGAAAAACTAAAGCTCATATCATCTATCTGTGGTTCGTTATCGCACGGTTATTTTATCCGCACATGTACCTGCATTTTTGTTCGACAAAGTTTATTACTAATGTACATTAAAAAACTATCTGTTTAACCTGTTTATCGTACCTATCTGCCGTCATCGGTGACGTACTTTATTCTCACCGAGAACTATCTCTACCCTTTATACACGAAGGGAGAGAGAGACATGCACACGGTAGATGAAGCATGTTGACGCATGTTGAAGCGATCGTCCGTGACGATTTTGTTCTTGTGTTTTACTAGAATAAATCATCTTAAACACCTCGTCTATATATGTGTTAGTGTGCCGCAAGTTGATTGAATGGTAACACACTACTCTCCCACTGCGATTCGGTCTACAGACCATTAATGGATTTGTTTCATCCTACTTCATCATGATCAACTTCGGTGTCTGTCACCAACTTCCCGGTGTGAATACGCAAACAGAAATATGTAGGGTGAACGAAGAATGGATTTACTCGATAGAGGCACAAAGTAACTTCCCAATTTCACTGCTACTTAGAGTACACTCTATTTAAACACACCCCTTCAAACAATGTGATTTGCTGTTAAGTAAAGGAAAGGATTACATTGTTGTCGATTTAGTTCCATGCCGTACAGTATCACGTCTCTCATCTGTATGCCAAACCGGTAAACTCAGTAGCACTAATTATTCAGTATGTCTATCAGGGCGTACTTGAGTGTGTACTGTCATTGAATTCCTTAATTTCATGTCCCTATTCTGAGACTAATTTGGCAATACAGTTTTCACATACTTGTAGGTGTCTATTTGTGATAGGGTCTGCAAGTTTATGTCTCACGATGCCACTGCATTTTTAAATGTGTTTTAGAGGTCTCGGAGAAAATAACCGGGGAGCAGTACAACGAGTAGGGGAACACGCATGCATTCAAAAACCTAACAATCAGCTTGTGGGGAACAGAAGATATTCCTAGTCGAAGTGAGAGATATGAAAGATTTCTAACTGTACATAATGTGTTCTAAACGTGCAGTGATCATGGCAAATTGTGTGATATTGTGATACCAAGGTATTCTGCCATTGTTAATGGCGGTATGGGTTCATGATTGGTAGAAAGATTGGG